AAGTTCAGACCTTGAGTCCGAGACAAGACTGAGTCCAAGCACCTTCTAGACCAAGACAAGAGTCCAAACACGGTCGAGTCTGAGTCTAGACCAAGACCATAAAATGGTCTCGAGTACTACGACACTACTCATTACAGTTAGCAATACAATTCTGTCCAAGCCTAGCCAGCCATGCTCCCACACGGAAATATACAAACATATGGCACAAAACAATACACTGTAACATCACAAACCTGATGAGATGTGCAGTAGTGTCATTAGCAGCATGGACACTCACTGTGGTGTGATAGCGCTCTGAAGGGGGTGTGACGGGGAGCAAACAGAGCTCAGGCCATCAACTCCTCTGGTCAAGGATCTGGCCTCAAAGTGATGTATCGCCATGGTTACAGCAGTGCTATACATACCTCACCCATAGACTGTACACAGAAATGGACAGAGATAACCCACTAGCCACCATATTCCAAATAGAACATGAGCATGGAGGCGCATCCAGCTCCATCGACTCTGGCTCCAATTGACTTTACATTGAAAAATGGTCACCCCTCTCTCTGGAACTGCTGCAGGGAGCATTAACCCACTTTATATGATCCTGGTGTTTTTATTTTGCTATTTTGTCCGTCACATTCCATTAGTCCACTTTTTGTACAGTCTATGGTTACCAATTAATACCCCTTCTTCAAATAAGTTAAAGTTAAGTTTCAGATCAGTTTCCAGGAAATGAATATAAGTCAATGCAATGGGATGATCCAGTATATTTAGGTTGTGGTACTTAAAGGGGCACCACCCTATGTCCCTGGTCAACGGTCTGCCACCTGCTCATTGTCTCCACACAGAAGTGAAGTCATTGCTGTGCCTGGAATGTTCTACAGTATAACCTCAACCTTATTCATCTCTACAAATACAGCACTTCTACTTACACGTCTTATAATATTCAAGTTACAGGTAAGTATGTTTATTGTATGATTACAAAAGTACATAGGACAGGGGTCTCCAACCTTTTTTCTCCAGTGAATTACCTTTATGAAACAAAAATGCCAGGAGCTTCCAATTTCAGCAGTCACAAAGAAACTGAGTAAATATAAGAGCCACAGTAAGTCTTCGATGGAGAACAGTTAGACGCTTATAAAACATAAACATCATCCATTTATTGGGGTGCAACAAATTAAGCATCAAAATGATTTGACTTATTATCCACAACAGATAGAATACTGACATAGGATATATAGGTCTGTCACCTGCTTGTTTCTATGGAGATGTCATTGCTCTGCCTGGAATGTTCCACAGTTAAACAAAACAGCTCTAGTTTACATTTATTCAATTACAGGTGATTTTATAGCTCAAAAATACCTGGAAAAACAACATTCTGACTGAGTGGGGTCGCCTCTCCACAGATCATGGGCCTCATTTATGAAAAACTGCGCCTAGTAGCTATGAGAGGCATGCGCCACGTAAACTCAATATTTAGAAAACCAACCACACGCACAAAATAACGCAATGTTTGCTTTATAAATCCCACCTGCAACTACAATCAGCGCATGTAAACCCACGTCACGCCCTCTCCACACCGAGACCCTGACCCCGAGACCCGCGGGACAGAGGGAGGAGGACGCTCCACGCAACACCACGTGATCACGACAAAGACTTAAACAAGATTTTACAAATAAATACAAAATTAAAAGTGACAACAACGACTCATCTGTTAATTTAATAATGTTTCATAATATTTAGGCAGCACATCTGTTATTCTGCCAATAAAAGTCCACACGAAACATCCAAACTGCTGACCTGTGTGAGTGTGGGTCTGGGTCGGGGCGGGCACAGACATTATTGTGTTCTTGTCAGAGAGCAGCTCTCATTTGAAAGAGCTCCCCATTACACATAAATGTAGGGAGTATTTAAGGTTCGGGTCATGTGTCGTGCGCAGACTCGGGCCACTCTCTCACTCAGAGCATAAAGACTACAGTAAAAGTGTTAAAGTTGCGTTTAGTCCCAGTGCTTCATTAAACCAAAAAAGCTCCTCTGCTCTGTCCAAGGGAAGAGTTTTCTTTCAGGTCGGGTCATTATTTCGTCCTCTGTGTTGGTCACAGACTGTGTTCTATAGAAGTCTATGGTCGTGGTGTGGACTGTGGGAGACCCTGCGCTACACCGGGAAAGTGGCCGCACTCGTGCACGAGTTTCAAATGTATAATACTGTGGAGAATAATGAGTGGAATAAACAGCTCTTCTACGTGTTTTGGCGAACCAAACACTTCTCAACAAATCTGAAGGTAATTCTTTTATATACGTGGATTTTCTGATGAATTCCTGATCAAACTCTTCCTCAAACTGTCTTCACTTGTAGCTCCTCTCCACGAGTGTCGTGTGAGTGACTTTGTGTAGAGTTTACAGGAGGTCCCGAGTTGGCGTAGGGTTAAGCAAAGTGCCACGCTTTAGTCGAGTTTCATAAATACCGCGGTTGGCGTAGAGAGCGCGTACACAAGGATTTGTGCATAAGCGAGCTTTATAAATGAGACCCCAGACCTGTAACTTGGTCTGGTTTGGTCTCCATGAAAATAGAAAGGTTTAATGCCATACTGTGAAACATTCCAGACAAAGCAATAACATCTCTATGAACAAAAGCATTTGACGGACAATCCACCAGAAAAGTTACACAATGCACCTTTAATGTTAATGAATTCAAGTCGGTATAGTGTTTGTAACATATTGAAAACTGTCGTGTGGAAATGCAGTCAGAGGAGGGTGTGTGGAGCAGTGGAGCTCTTGTTGAATAGGGCTTTTGTGCACATTGTGATGACCCCTGCTGGGCAGTGTCCAGACAGCGCTGCACACAGGGCTGCAAAGTGAAATGAGGACAAATTAGGCAACAACATTCTGGCGGACGACTGAGCATCCACAAACAACCAGAGAGTAAAGGCCAGGGCACAGCGGCGCCAGGGAGCTGGAGCAGGGAGTTTAGAGAGAGACAGGAGGGTGGGGGTGGATCTAACTAGAGGCACTGCTCTGTCTGAAGCAAGTTAGACTTTAATCAGACCATGAACACTTGTATGGATCACAGACTCCTGAAAATGTTTTGTTTGTTTTTTTTCTTGATTTTTCAGACAATCTAAAATCATATCTGTGTTTGCTAATGTGTGCATTATGTCACCATGGTAATCGCTGAACATTTCTCCATAGACATGCATTCAGTCCATCCAGCGTGATGTCACTGGTCACAGAGAGAGACCTGTCTGCAACAGCAGAAGTGCTAAAAGCCTCTGTCTGTGCGCTGTGCCTGGTGTGTGTGCTCATACAAAATGGTGGAGGTGATTTTTTTCGTGGTGGATTCAGTTTGTATTCATGTGTGCATTGAGCTTGAGTAGTTTGAACTCACAGGAAATCAGTGTCACAGGAAACTTAGTCAAGCTTATCTGAGCATATTTCAGTTTTTTCCTCCTGTCTTCTTCCCTAAACGAGGTCTGGGTTATTGGTTCGGTTATACAGTACATGCTTTTTAAGAAAGGTCATCACAACTGAATCTGGGTTGGGTTGTCAGTGCCATAAAGGGCCAATATTACACTATTTTCTGATCCATGTTATAAAGTTTCCTCATCAAAAACAGATCAGGTTTTGTTTTGTTTCATTCACACATGTTTAACACATAAACCCTGCACATTTATGCTACAGAAAATACTCTGTTCCACCTTGTATGGCATGTGGGAATACAAGAAGTGCTCTACTTTGTTTTTAAACTCCATACCCCTTCACTAGAATCATTTGGATGATATTTCACCTCAAATTCCCAATCTTTATGACCTAAAGATAAAATATATGTTTCATCACTGAAACTGGCAACCCAAATGTGAGGCTCATTCTGCTTTCAGACTGGAAAATCATCTTCAGAACCAAAACACTAAATTATAAAATAAACATCTTGGTCATCATGTCCAGGATTTTTGCAATTAAATAAGGAAGCACTAAGATTCTGTTATCAGAAATTGACAGAGCACTGATACAAAAAAAATAAATAAATAAATTGCTGAACTGGGTATTGGTTTCATGATATCGGTTAAGCCGATACCGTGCAAAAATCTAAATCTAGCCAAGTTAAGATGACTTAAATTAAGAAACTTTTATCATGATTTGAGTAAATTTCACTTGACAAGTACAATTATCTGGAAATGGAATAAGACTTCTTGTAACATGAAAATACATCTTACTACATAGTCCAATGAGGTTCATTTGGTCTTCCAATAATTTATGTTATAGGGTTCTTTTTTCAGACCAAGAGTTTGTTTTCATACCTGATAGCTTCCTCAGAGTGGTCACGTGATGTTGTGATGTATCCGGTCAGCTGATTTAAACAGGTTTTGGTGTTGTCTTCCTACCGGTGGAGGTAGTCCGACTTCCTCAGGACAGTATCCCAGATGTGTGAGAGTAAAAAAGGCCCCTCGTCCCGGTTTATATATCCCATCCTGCCTCCACTCTCCATCAAGTTGAATCGACTCAAATAAAGTCTAATGCTCTTAATTTAAGTCATTTTAACTGATCTTGATGTTTTCTTCCAGTGTTGATCCGTTAATTGGTGTAATATGAACATAAGACTGTAAAAAGACCATTTTGAGGCTGATTTTGGCCTAGAACGTCTCATAAAGTTTGAACTTCTATTCATATGAAGTTGTTCAGTAGCTATAAATAAGTTACATAACACTACTGGATCTCTTGTGTAATATGTAAATTGCGTTATAAGGAAATAAGTGTCATGTTCCATCCTTAAACTCGTATCACTTAATATCGGTAGATACTTAAAGTCAAAGTATTGATATTGGAACTGAAAAAACTGGACTGGTGCCTCCCTAGAATTAAGAATAAATCAGCATTACAGTTTTTTCAGTAAAAGATATATTTGATTTGAACATGTTTACCTCATATCCACACATATTTAAGTAATGTCTATGGAATTTAAAATCAAAATGTTACATACAGTCCCTTTAAGTCCTCATTAGTCACATGTATTCTCAGGTCTACCTTCTGGCCATCATCTTCCTCTTCATCGTGAGTCTGTAGATGATCTGATATCCGTCGTCCCACCCGTACAGCTGCCTCTCCTCCGGGTTGTACTTCAGACTGGAGTGGGCCCCGAACCTCCGCGGAAAATACATGAGCGGGGCCTCCTCGTTCACCACCACCCCGTTCACGTCGAAAACGCACTGTATTCTAGATCTGCTGGGCAACCTCGTGTTATAAACCACATAGACCACCCCGCACGCCACGAACGCCGCCTCCGCCTTCTCCCGGGGGCATCCTGTGTCCCAGATCTGCTCGATGTCCAGGCTTTGGTGGTCCAGTTTGGCCAGGTTGATGTTTGGTTCTTTCTCGTTGGAGGAGTAGAGCAGCCACAAGCCCTGGTGGTCTACGGCTAGATCGGCGATGGTCTCCGGGTTGAGGGAGTAGACCGGAGAGACGCTGGCCAAAGGAAACATGGCGATATCTGTGATGAAGCCACTCGCCAGGTCGAATTTTACCACCTGGAAAAAGAGATAAAGGATTTGGTCATTTTTTTTAATAACAAGATTACAAATGAAATGATGAAATCTGAAATGATTAGACTGTAATCTGAGGTTTATTTTAGAACAGACTGCAGCCTGAAGTGACCCAAATCTGATGTTTTTTCACTCCTATGCGATCTGTATCTGATCTTTTAATGACAGTCTGAACGACAATGAACGACTTTTTCAAACGTGACCCAGGCCACTTGGAGAAGCACGCTGAGAAACCAGGATACTCATATCCACGTATACATGATCAAATGGAGTATCCCTGGTTTCTTGACAAATGCACAAGCGCAAAAATTGACCTAATTTAAATTAATAAACCAGGAAAAATACAAACCATGAGCTTCTTTGGCAGAGGAAGCTTGGGAGGTTTAACCAGGGGTAAAACCGGTAACACTTTATAATAACTACACTTTACTTAGCCTTAATAAAGCATAAAGAAAGACTTAATCAATAATGAACAAAGATTTAATTAATAATGATTCACGCTTAGTAAATGTTTAATAAAGCATAATTCGTCTTCACTTTAGAAAAGCGCTCAAGAAGACTTAACTAACAGCTGCTTGAATTATCATTACATTACATTATTAGTAAATCATTCTCTCATAGCTTACTAATATTAATAAATGCTCAAATGGTTAGAAAATGAGTAATTAAGTATGAAATAATTATGAGTAACTAATTACAGCACAGGCAAATTAAGTGCAAGTGCTAATTAAGGTAGTAATTAAGTAGTTACTAAGTGTGAATCATTATTAATTAAGTGTTTGTTCATTATTAATTAAGCCTTTGTTCATGTTTTATTAAGGCTAAATAAGGTGTAGTTATTAAAACCTCCCAAGATATCCCACAATCCACTGCACAAATCAAACCGAACAGATTCATTAAAAATCTTCTGATAAATAAACTCAACTTTACAACATATAAACCATAACCACTATAGGGCCACATCAGCCCGTTTGATCATATAACTCAGCTTTGATCACATTTGTTTACGTTTTACAGAAGTGAAACTTAAGACCACGTGGCTCTTTTACATAAACTGTTAGAGCTGATAAAAACAGCTCGCTCCTTGTGCCGCTGATGTGGTTCAGCGTCTGTCGGACTAAAGGACACGACTCTGTGGAATATATGAGTGTTCGTTTTGTGACAGAGGAGGTGCTGATGATGGTGAGTCTGTTCTGTGCGTAAATCGTATAGGAGATAGTTCATGTTTTAGTTTTTTGGTGATCACACGTGTGCAGGTCATACGAGTGCAGATTGTAAGTGTGTAGGTTTAACACAGCTTTTTATTCTACAGTCATTTCACTCATGTATGGTCACTTTATTTATTTTGGTCACTTTATTTATGTCACTACTTTTGAGGTGAAAAGACTGGAAAGTGTTTGTCTTTTGGACGTAGGCACACTCAACTTTATGTAGCTGATACTGCGTTTACTTGCCACAGTATCCCGGTTACTATCAGAATATACCAGCTACAGTAACCCGGTTTCTCATCGCCATTGACTACACACTATTTTTGATTGTCACTGTAATACAGGACAAAGTGCATCCCTTTTCAGCTCAATATGGGACACGTACTTTTGTTTCTGAATACGGGACGATTCCGTTTTTCAAGGGACGGTTGGTAACCCTAGTCATCACGAGGGACATATTTGGATTTGGGGTGTTTAAAGTTCACACTGTAGATCACATACAAGTCGCATTTAATTGGAAATGTGAGCAAACTCGCAAAAATTTGGATTTCACAAAAAAAATCCGACTTGAACATTAAGCCCTGCAGTCTGACTTAGTTGGAACTACACAAGCTAGTTATCCAACAGCCAACAGATTTTTCAATTACTCTAGGGTAGATTTTTAATATCAGAAACTGGGACACCTCCGGGTTGGTCAGGGTCGGTAATAATAAAATTGTGAAACGAGTGCGTAATTAAAGAAAATTGTTATGCACTCGGCCCATTCATGACTTATTCACGATAACATGTGAGTCAGTATAATCTTTCTTTTTTTTTCTGTAATTTGACCAAAACAAAACATAAAACAAAAAACCTAGACAATTTATGCCTCTCTTTACTGTTTGCAGGTATCAAATTGGCCAAAAATAGCAATACCTGGGGCATTTCTTGTATAAATTGGGACAAATCACTGGTTTTAGCTAAATCCACTGGGACAGGGGACACAGGGCTCAAAACTGGGACTGTCTCGGGTAAATAGAGACGTCTGGTCACTCTAAATTAGTGTCATCTTTTTGTGGAAAATCAAACTTCTGAACAGGACAATGAATGCTCGTATTGATCACAGGCTCCTGAAAATGTGCATTCTTGTAACATTCTGCCAGCACACATACATGTAGAAGACCCCCATTGTGATGTCAGTGCAAAGTATCGAAACATGATAACATAAAGAGCCTCACCTGCACTTCCTCAGCGTGGGTCACGTAGTACAGATGGTGGTTGTAAAGTGCGCTCCCGGCTCCAGTCCAGTCCACACCGAGTCTGAGTGAAGAGCTGCTGTTCAGACCAGAGGAGCTGCAGAAGTCCCTGACAGAGTTAAACTGGAACACACTGTCTCCTGACGTCCCGTTGAAGACAAAAACCTTAAAGTTAAGCAATGATAATTATAATCCTAATAATCAACTTGAGATTTATTTTTTTTTAAAACATGCGTGAATGACCTGACTATGACTACGTTCACACTGCAGCCTGAAGTGACCCAAATCCGATTTTTTGGCCCCTATGTGACCTGTATCTGATCTTTTAATGACAGTCTGAACAACACAGATCAGATTTTTTCAAATGTGACCCAGGACACTTGGATATGTGCTCCTCAATCGATACATATCCGATCTTTTGATATGCGACTTCAGTCTGAACGGCCAAGGCTCATTCATCCACCTACACGTCATCAACAAGCCACAAATGTACACAAACATTCTCCTCTCAGGGTGGAGAATCCCTGCCTCAAGTGGAGGAGTTCAAGTATCTCGGGGTCTTGTTCATGAGTGAGGGGAGGATGGAACGTGAGATTGACAGGCGGATCGGTGCAGCGTCTGCAGTGATGCGGTCGCTGTATTGGACCGTTGTGTTGAAGAGGGAGCTGAGTCGAAAGGTGAAGCTCTCGATTTACCGGTCAGTCTTCGTTCCTTCCCTCCCCCATGGTCATGATCTCTGGGTAATGACTGAAAGGACGAGATCGCGGATACAAGCGCTCGAAATGAGCTTCCTTAGAGATAGGGTGAGGAGCTCAGTCACACGGGAGGAGCTCGGAGAAGAGCTGCTGCTCCTCCATGTCGAGAGGAGCCAGTTGAGGTGGCTCGGGCATCTGTTCCGGGTGCCTCCTGGGCGCCTCCCTTGGGAGGTGTTCTGGGGATGTCCCACTGGGAGGAGGCCCCGTGGAAGACCCAGGTCACGCTGGAGGGACTATGTCTCTCGGCTGGCCTGATAACGCCTCAGGGTCCCCCCGGAAGAGCTGGAGGACGTGTCTGGGGTGAAGGAAGTCTGGGAGTCCCTGCTTAGACTGCTGCCCCCATGACCCGGCCCCGGATAAGCAGAAGAAAATGGATGGATGGACGTTCTTCTCGTCATATAAAAATTGTTAATGAACTCCGTGTCACTGAAGTGAAGCACATCACTATCCCACCACTCTTGGCTCCGTCTCTGCATCCAGACGTTCCTTTCAACGGACTGAACCACAAAACACCACAGCCAAAAACCTCGTCTTTCTCCTTCTCAATCTCCTCCTTAAAACAAACAAGTTGAACATGTTCTGGCTCCGGTACGAGAGGAACTTTAAAATCTCCAGGTGCTCAATGCTGCGTCCATGTTTAGACAACTTCTGTAAACACAGAGCACGTCGCTGCGGTTGACGTCGTGGTGTCTCCAGTGCACATGCGGGACACTTTTGGGCTATTTAATGTTCACATTGGAGTCACATACAAGTCACATTTAATTGGAAATGTGAACGCAAAAACATCGGATTTCACAAAAGAAAATAAAAAATATCCGAACTGAGCATTAAGCCCTGCAGTCTGAACGTAGCCTTTGACCTATATCTCTAATACATGTATGATTAAGTTAAAACTCCTGGTATGTTTGTGATATGGAAACAATGTGAATACTTGTGCAAACTGTAGTCAAAAAGAGGTGTGGGGCTCTCGTTTATCTTGTGAGAATAAAAGTCTTTTATTAGAACATGGACGGGACATTAATAATACCTTGTTCTCATTTCCACCTCTGATTTAATATGGTTTTCTATTGAATTAAAGTCCTATGATGGTTTATGGCGTTTGCATGGTCAGTCAAATCAGTGTAAGACGAGGAAATGTTTAATTGTTTAAAGGAAAAATTGTGCTTTAGGGCTGGACGTTTCATCGTTCATGACTACGTCCGGGTTTGTCAGTCTGAGTGATCAGTTGGGTCACACCGGAGTGGCAGCCATGGAGACAACTGTAGCACTTTGCACTGCTCTAACCTTACATGGCCCGTCCCCCCACTGGTCATTCTACTGTCGTAAAACTGCGAAAAGTAAAACGAGATCATTTTAGCAGATTGGACATAAGTGCTTTTCACAACTTTAAGAGGCGAGTGTGGAGTTTTGCCATCACATTAATGCTACAACAACAACAACACTGTGGTCATACCAGCTTGTCAAAGCCTAAGCTCATCAGATCTCTGACGCTAAACAGAGCTGGTTAGTATTTGGAGGGGAGAGTGCCGGGAATACCAGGTACGAGGCAAGACACTTCACCCACATGGTCTTGTAAAAGGGTCTCCAACCTTTTTCCTCCAGTGAGCTACTTTTACTAAATGAAAATGCCAGAGAGCTACTAGTTTTAGTCATAAAAAATTGAGCATATAAGAGCCACGGCAAGCCTTAATGAGATACACTTAAATGCCTATAAAACATAAACCATTACTCATTTATAAAAGCACAATTTTAGGTACCAAAATGATACATGTACAATGGTAAAATGCATTTTATTAATCAAATCTGACTTTAATTTTAATCCCTGGACAAGCTACTTAGAAGAGGGTGAAGAGCTACCGGTGGCTCCTGAGCTACAGGTTGGAGACCCCCGGTCAAGTAAGACAATCTAGTAAGTGGTGTGTGCATGTACGAGCACCTAAGTCCTGTGCTCAGGTCTCTGCACTGCCCCTGTGGCTCAGAGACTTTAAAGTGTTTCTTCTTGTGTAAAAGTCTCTCCATGGCCGAGCACCAAAGTTCATCTGTGACATGTTAGTGTCATATGAACCATCTGCACTTTAAACAGCTCAGGGACCGACCTCCTGCTGGTGCCCTGAGTCAGGACTAAACACAGGGAGTCAGAGTGTCAGATTCATGCAGCTAAAACCTGGAACAGTCTGAACACGTGAGACAGAACTCTTCTTTGAATCTGTTTAAATCCAGCCTCAAAACAGTTCTGTTTAGCTGCACATGACTGAAAAGTTTTCATTTTTCATTCCGCACTCTTCTCTCTAATTTAATGTCTCTCTCTTTTTAATTATGATGATTATCCAGGTCTCACGATACGATATCATCACGTTATGAACCTCACAGTACGATATTTATTGTGATATTACCAGAAAGCTCATGATATGTTGGGGAGGCTCACGATTTGGGATGTAACAATATTCAAATCTCACGGTACAATACTTTCACAATATACATCTCACGGTACGATATTTATTGTGATATTTTGTGGAGTCTAAACAGCTAAAAATTGCGAATATGCAACTTTTTTCCTCTTAAAATGCCTTGACAAGACTTAATCCAAAGAACTAAGACTTAAAAGTGCTTAGAGCTGTTATTTCTTCATGTAGTCTGCACTGAAATGGAGCAAAGGATCATGGTCTATGTAGTTCCCTCTGTTTTTTTTAGCTACTGCTGCACCAGAACTCTTCATTTAAGCAAAGAGACTTGTAATTTGATATATTGTGATGCTCCACGATATTATTGTGAGAACTTTGATGATACGATATCACGGCGAGGAGAAAATTCAGTTTGTTGACTGGACAAAATTTAGTTTGGTAGAAGACGTTTCGCATCATCCGAGCTGCTTCTTCAGTTCGATATCACGATATTTCATTTATCGCTACATCCCTATTATTTATATTTTGATTAGTTTTTATTGTGATTTTAATGTTTTCCTCATTCTGTAAAGCACTTTGAATTACTTTGTGTACAAATTGTGCTATATAAATAAATTTGCCTTGCCATGTTGGTGGTTGTCAGAGAGCCAGGTTTGCAGTCTTGTCTCTGTCAGTCTGCTCCAGGGCAGCTGTGGCTACAATAGCATCTTACCAGTGAATGAGTAATGCTCTGTAAAGCTCTTTGTACGGAAGCCGAGAGGGGTCACAACAAATGCAAATGCTGCAGCAAATACAAATGCGACAACACAACAAAAAGCCACAACAAACCAAAAAAAAGCCACAAAACACCAAAAAAAAAAAAAAAAGCCACAACGGAAATGACAGCGGGACTCTATTTTAATACAAACGCCACAACACAAATGCAAATGCCACAACACATTAAAAAGCCACAACGGAAGTGACCGTGGGACTCTATTTTCCGACAGACTGATCAAGTGGCAAATGAAGAAGAAGAACTACAACGTGAAACGAATAATGATAAAACAATTAATTACTTTTACTTACGTTTCCAACTTCTCCGTTCCTTTACTTTTCACGTTGTAGTTCTTCTTCTTCACTTGCCACTTGATCGGTCCGTCGGAAAATAGAGTCCCACGGTCACTTCTGTTGTGGCTTTTTGATGTGTTTGCGGCTTTTTGATGTGTTGTGGATTTTTTATGTGTTGTGGCTTTTTAATGTGTTGTGGCTTTTTGATGTGTTGCGGCTTTTTGATGTGTTGTGGCTTTTTGATGTGTTGTGGCCTTTGCATTTGTGTTGTGGCGTTTGTATTTGTTGCGGCGTTTGCATTAAAATAAAGTCCCGCGGTCACTTCCGTTGTGGCTTTTTGATGTGTTGCGGCGTTTGTATTTGTTGCGGTGTTTGCATTAAAACAGAGTCCCGTGGTCATTTCCGTTGTGGCTTTTTTTGGTTCGTTGTGGCTTTTTGTCGTGTTGTCGCGGCGTTTGCGTTTGTTGTGACCCCTCTCGGCTTCCGTAGGCTTTGGGTGTGTTGAAAGGCACTATATAAATCCGATGATTAACTAAAGTGCATTTCTTGATTATCAAACAGTGCATGATGAGATCCAGACAGTACACAGTGGACTTATTTTGACCCCAGCAGCTGCTTATACAGCCTGTCCTGGAGCAAGACTATTTTTGCTGGTAAACAAGGCAAAAAATCCAGTACAGAACCCTTAAACGAAAATCAAACATAATCAGACCTTGGAGGATTTGGGGTCCGGAGTCCACACGCCCTTCGGACCGCCCGCCCTCTTCAGAATCTTCACCGACCTGATACCGGAGACGACGTCCTCACAATCTGCACGAGAAATGTCAGGCGGAATCAGCAAAACACATTACGTATGCATCCCCCAACGTTACATTAGACTGAATAATGCAGAATATAAAAGAGGCTACTCCACGAAACACGCAGACTCTGGCTTTTCAAATGTGAATCATGTTTACAGAAATGTCACATGGCAGCTCGGGGCAACAGGGCCCTATCTGCATCTCCACACAATGGTCATGTCCAAAAGTGCGCAGCGAAATTCGGACAGGATGTAATAGAAGCAGACATGTGGACACAGGAGGAGGCTTTTAGCAAAACAAAACTGAGGATGTCCAGGAGGAATGTCTGAAAATGAGCAGGAAGGAAAAGGGGATACAATGAATGAATGCATGATGTTACTAATTCTTGATATGAGTCGTTTTGACTAGTTCCACATTCTTTTTTACTAGTTTTAACATAATGGATTCTGTATTTTCATATTTCAAGCCCAAAGTTCAGTTCACGGACATATGCGAGGTAAGTTTAAAGGTGGACCACGCAACTTTTCTGGTGGACGGTCTGACACTTTGCTTCCTCCATACCAATTTTAGTTATAAAGCACTTTAAAAACTTTACAGCTGGACAAAATGTTGTACACAAACACAGGACAATGACAATCACAGTGGAAGAAAATACATGATACAAACACAATACAACTACTAAAAACAGAAAATAATAAGATACTCAACAACAAGAAATGTACATGTCACTTGTTAAAAAGTCAGTGAAAAAAGGTGCGTTTTTAGGAGTGATTTAAAAACAGGTAAAGACTCCGCCTGTCTATGTCACACAACAACAGAGGGAGGACTGCTGTAAAAGTTCTTTAATAACAAAGAAAGATCTAAAAATGACAATGACAATGAGTTGAGTTGGTAGAGCAATCGCCCACTGATCTGAACGTTGGAGGTTTGATTCCAGCTCTCGACATAAACATCACAGGTTTTGCGGTCAGATCCACTGACCCACAGGTTGGCTGGTGTGATTCCAGCTTCCACAGATGAATGCTGTTGTTGTGTCCTTGGGCAAGACACTTAACCCACCTTGCCCACAGTGTCTGTGTACACTGGTGTGTGAATGGGTGAGTGGTTCCTTGTTGTAAAGTGCTTTGAGTGCCTTGAAAGTGGAAAAGCACTATAGAAAAATGTGACCATTTATCAACACAGACACACAAGTGAAACACATCAGGGCCAAACAATCAACAGACAGGAAGTAAAACACACTACTACAACTACTACAAGCATACAGTCAAGTCAAGTCATTTTATTTATATAGCACATTTAAAACAAGCATAGCAACTTGCACCAAAGTGCTTTACAGCATGAAACACAACATAGTGAAACAATAACACAAATATAAAATATATAAAATATTACATAAACGATCTCAGGTGAAGAGGGAGGGCATTCCAAAGCTTGGGGGCAACAACAGAGAAAGCTCGGCCTCCCCTGGTTTGAGGCGGGATGGTGGGACGGACAGCAGGTTGAGAGAGTTTGACCTGAGAGATCGGGAGGCTGTGTGGGAGGTTAAAAGATCAGTGAGTTAAGTGATTTAAAAACAAATAATACAATTTTAAAATCAGTTCTGTATTTAACAGGTGACCAGTGGAGTTGGGCAGGATGGGTGTGATATGGTCTCTCTTTTTGGACCCGGTGAGCAGTCGGACTAATGTCAAAATAAAACACCAAGGGCACACAACACTACAGGAAAAGATACATCAAAATAAGCAAAAACAACAACTACAGAACATGAACCATGAAAGTCTAATTTCTAATGGTTCCACAGCAGAAAACACACGGTCCCCACGAAGTTTACATTTAGTTTTTGGGACGGCGAGCTGGAGCTGATCTGCTGACCTGAGAGTGCAAGAAGGGGCGAGAAGATGAATCAAGTCAGTGAGGTAGAAGGGCGCTAAGCCGTGCAAACACTTAAAAGTAAATAAAAGAATTTTAAAATCAACTTTAAAAGTCACTGGGAGCCAATGGAAAGAGGCTAAAACAGGTGAGATGCTCTTGTGTTTTCAGGTTCCAGTTAAAAGTTGAGCCGCTGAGTTTTAGACCCGCTGCAAACTACAAAGTGCATTTTGGCTGAGAAACAACATAAAGTGCATTACAATAGTCCAATCTAGCTGTCAAAAATGCATGCATGACAGTTTTGAAGTGTTGTGTTGACAAAATAGGCTTAATTTTGCCCAGTTGTTTTAGCTGGAAAAAACCTTTACAGCAGCACTTCCATGGAGATGTTACTGCTTTAGCTTGTAAGTTGCAGTATTATCTTTCTTTCATTTAAGTTCTACAGACTGTTCTAAATGTATCTCTAATGGTGAAATGTTTAGGATTTGCAAACATACACAAAAAAGTTTTTATATTGACTGAAAACTCAGGATAAGATACAAAATGAATCTGAACACATTTGCAGGAGTTTGTGATCAGTACGAGTGCTCATGGTTCTATTTAGGAGTTTGATTTTCAACAAAAGGTGAGAGATGAACTGAAAAGCTGTTGACTAATGCTGTAATGTTAAGTGTGAGAGACGGGTTGTAGTTCTAGCTGAGCCAGGTCTTTTTGTTCACATGGTGTTAACATAAAGCTCAGATTTTCAGAGAGCCATCATCATCATCAAGGACACCGCCCACCCAACACACACACTGTTCTCCCTCCTACCCTTGTTCCCGCAGGCCATCAGGCTCATCAACACCCTCAAGAGAATTCCATGAACATGACAATCACTACATCCATAACAACTTCATACATGCATATATCCACGCTGCTGTCTCAGCACTCTGCACTTTATATATCGCACCTTCATTAACATCAGAAATAACTACCTCATTCTTCTTGTGGAAATGTACATGTCCTTGTTTGTCTGTATGTTGCTTTTTAAAATGATTATTATTGATATCTATGTACATTTCATGTTTATGTGTGTGGTGTGTGTGTGTGTTTAAAGTTTTTAACTGCACGCTGGAGTTCTGGGGAAACGTAATTTCGATCTGTGTAATGGTTGTTACATGGAGGAATTGACAACAAAGTTCACTTTATCTTTATCTTTAGATTTAAGTTAAAAGTGCACTGTGTAACTTTTCTGATGGAGGATCTGTCACCTGCTTGTTTCTATGGAGATGTCATTGCTTTGCCTGGAATGTTCCACAGTATCAAATTAAACAGCTCTACTTTACATTTATTCAATTACAGGTGGTTTTATAGCAAAAAAAAAAAAGCTAGAAAAACAGGCATTCCAACTGTGAGCAGGGTTGCCTCTCCGTAGATATGACCTGTAACTTGATCTGTTTGGTCTCAATGAAAATAGAAAGATTTAATATCATACTGTGAAACATTTCAGACAAAGCAATAACATCTCCATGAAAAAGCATCTGACAGACCCTCCACCAGAAACATTACACAATGCACCTTTAACTGCACCTTTAAATGCCTCTTTATCTTGACAGAGCAGGGCCTACAGTTAGTGTCACACCCCCAGGGAATATTGATGACATTATTTGACAATAAGGGAAACTTTTGTAGATCATTTATTTTGCCGTAAAGGCCAGTTTACAGTCTATGTCAAATCTTCTGCGTTATGACGCACAGAGTCTGCGTCAGCCGACATGCACCTCTGAAATGTTCTAAGTACGTGTCAAAATGACGCAGACAGCAGGGGAAGCGACGCAGACGGTAAGAGCTGTGATTGGTCCTCCCTACCACCGCACAACATACATTTCCTGTACTTGGCTTTCCTTTTTTTCAATTTATTTTGAGAAATAATGTGTTTAATACAGCTTTGCGCACATGTGTTTATGTTTTACAGAAACAAATCTTAAAACTAAGCGCTCAAAAAACAGCTCGCTCCTTGTGTCTGGACCCGGTTCAGCTTCTGTCGGACTTAAAAAGGACACGACTCAGTGGATTATATGTGTTCTTTCTGTCACAGAGGGATATTGTACGAATGGTGAGTCTGTTCTGTGCTTTTGTCGTGTTAGAGATGGTTCATGTTAAACTTTTCAGAGATTATACGTCTGCACGTCACAAGTAGACTGTATATATGAAAGGGCATATATCGTCGCCCCCTTGCGTTTTGGAGGTGAATTACTTCGCGGTGCACAGACCTCAGTGCAGATCCATAAATCAAAAACAACGGCGACACGGCAACGGCGGCAGTGCACGTTGAGTGGACGCAGAACTATACTTCACAATTGAGAATACAGTTACCGTATTTTTTGGACTATAAGTCACACTTTTTTCATGGCTTGGGTGTTTCCTGTGACTTATACTCTGGTGCGAATTATATGTTAAAATTTTCACACTGACAGCAGCGAGAGGCTCTAGTCTTTTGTATCAGTTTTCTGCGCGTGTCTCCTGCAGAAAAAACCTCTGTCCTGCTGCAAGTAGTGAAATATGCAGCTGAAAACAGTGATCGAGCAGCAGAAAGAAAGTTTGGAAAGCAATAGTATTTCACTTTACTTTGTTGCTTCCATATGACAACACAGGGTTAAGGCTGGTCAAAGTCATTCAGTCATTGCTATTGAAAAAAAAAAAAAAAAAAGAAAGTTTGGAGTGAGTGAGAAACTTGTGAGGGACTGGCAGAAAGCGGGGATATAGAACACAGCTTCATGGGAACTGGGAGGATGCAGCATGCAACTTTCCTGGAAGTCACCGGATGACAAAGCCTGGACTTCAGTGACAACCGAAGTTGCGCGGAGTTGCTCAGAAGTGACACCGAGGATGAAGAAGTCAATGGATTGGGTACAACTTATAGTCTGAAAAATACGGTATTGAGAATTCAGAAACACAATGGAACAAGTTTAGAAGGAAGTATAGGCTATATTAAAACCTAGACTATTATTCTAAACTCAACACACTCAAGATAATTTGTTTGTCTGTAAATAAAAGCATCCAGTATCCATGGAAATAGGACACAACAAATCATTTTAACTACAAGATGCTTTTAGTAAGAAGAGACATGTCCAGGAGTGAAAGCAGCCTCCTCCTCCTCCT